TCTTCTCGCTCATTCTCGGATGCCTCCGACGATGCAAATAAATTATGTTTTATTGTTTAAAGATGCTACTGATGCTGGGATATAAATGGGTGACTGCTGTGATATTGCAAAGCATTGACTTTTATGTAGAAAAACGAAATGCAATTGTTTGAACAGCAACAAATGTCAAAAAGGTTCGTTCGGTATTCGGCAGGTAGGCTGCTCCATGTTTCTTAAATAAACAAAAAATAAACAAAATTGAAAAACAGAACAAATGTCAAAATGGTTAATTCGGTTTTTGGCAGGTAGGCTGCTCCATGTTTCTTAAATAAAAAAAATGAAAAATTAAAAAAACAGTTGAAACAATTTGAAAAACGGACAAATGCAATAAAGGTTCGTTCAGTGTTTGTCGGGTAGGCTGCTCCATTATTGAGACATAAATGAAAAATACAAATCAAATGGAACACATTTGAAACAAAAAAAATTGCCGAACACCGAACGAACCTTTTGCTATAAAAAATGAAAAAAATATTGAACAAATTTTAAGAAAAAAAATGCAATAAATGTTTGTTCAGTGTATGTAAGGTATGCTGCTCCATTATTTAAAACATCGAATTAAAAAATCACGACGCCGGAACGGATTAAATTCATTATTCGAGGTTCTACTGTACTATTACTGCAAAACAATACAGAAAAAATCAGAGACATTGAAATAATTAGGTAATAATATCTTTGTGGCAAACTCCTGCCTGTGTGTGCTTGTGAAGCAGATCGATACAGGATGCTTAATCTGTCACCGCCTCAATTTTGCCAGACTTCTCTGCTCCTATTGAGGGGGCTCATGCCGAAGGACGATCCTGGAAACAATCTATGTATGCTTTTCTCAGGAACTACCGTGCAACACCGCATGGAACACTGGGCAAGTTGCCTGGTGAACTCTTATTTGGACGTCCTATGAGGATCTCACTACCCGTCATACCAGCCGAGGTAACGGATACACGTCTCGCTCAGAAGGATGCACTAGCCAAGGGCAAAATGAAAATTGCTCATGATCAACATGCAAAGGAACAATTCATAAAGGTTGGAGACACTGTTCTAGTTAAAAAGACAAAAATTGGGAAAGATAGATATGCCGTATGATACAAAACCATATAAAGTGATTAGTGTAAAAGGAACTATGGTAACAGCGAGTAATAGAGATCATAGTATAACACGTAATATGGCTTATTTCAAAGTGATTCCAACTAGTGTAGAAAATGATGAAGTGCAAAGTCGAACAAAGGAAAAAGAAAAAATGACTTATAACCCAACAAACAATATCTTCAAGGGATATTCTTGTATTTAAGGACTCTCGTCCTAAACGTCATGTTAAACGCCCTACACAATTTGATGATTAATTGTGTTCCTATGTAATGCAAAGTATTTACTAATTATGCTGAACTAAATTTAATATTGTTTGAATAATGCAGGTCTCTCATTCAATATTTTGTAACTTTGTATTACAGTTTCTTTCATATATGTTTAACATTGCATATGTATTTTTAACATTGAAATCCTGTGTGGTAAAGATTAAGTTCTTTAAATTCTTTGTGTGCTTAATTAATGTTAAATGTATGCAATATCTCTTGATATATTAATAACTTACTTTGTGTTAATAACTTTGCTTTGTGCTACAAGCATGGTAGACATGTATTCATTCTTTTATAGACATGTATTCATTCATTCATAGACATGTATTCATTCTTTTTAACCCTCAAACCGCTAGGGGCCCAAATGGAATTCACACCCACAGGCGCAACAAAAAAAAAAATTCCAAAAAATTCTTTCGTCTTATAGAAGTGTTCATTTTTGTTCCCTGATCACGGAAAAAATAACAAAAAAATCGTAGGTGGCATATTTTAGCCACAATAGGGTAGGGAAGTGTGGCAAAAAAGGGGCGTTGGCAGAGCCTTCGCCAGACGAGGTCTACTCCGCCCGAGCTGTCAGACGGCAGTTGCCACAAATATATTATTACCTAATTATTTCAATGTCTCTGATTTTTTCTTAGTTTTTTGCAGTAATATTATTCCATACAGTGAATTGTGGTATATTTATATTATAAAATGTGTGAATCATCGCTGTACTCAAAATTATGGTGTGTATATTAGTGATTCAATTATTATGTTCATAAAACAATAAACAAATAGTTTTGCTGTTGTTACACTATATACACAGGTTATATATAAGTATTTGCATGTTTTGTACACCATAACAAACTACTAAGTTGGTCTTGTGAGTCAAAAAGAACCGAGGAGTGAAACACCAAACACCAGCGAGCCACTCACTGCCACTCCCTCCCTCAACACCACCTCACTCACCCTCATTCACCTCCCACAATACTCTTTTGTATTTATTCACTATACACAGATGTTATATATATGTATTTACATGTTTTGTTCACCATAACTGTACATCTAAGCTTGTATGGTGAGTGAAGGCCATAAGACGTAGCTACTCACACATTCAGCTGATCGGCGGCCGCCCTCAAGGCCAGACGCACTAATATTTGTCATCCAACAATATTGTTTGTGGTGTTATGACGCTATATACACACATTATATATAAGTATCTACCTGTTTTATTCACTATACCTGAACAAATAAGCTGGTATGGTGCCCAAAGACCATAGTGGCCATCAGTAAACACCATGCCAAGTCGTGCAGACGACGCTCCTCCCTCACCAAAATGGCGGCTCCCAACCTACTCCTCTCGCTGTTATCTCACACTATACACACGTTATATATAAGTATCTACATTTGTGTTCACCATAGTGAACCATTAAGCTGGTATGGTGAGTGCAGTCAATAAATGGTGGCCACACACAGTCAGAAGACGACGCCACAACCCTCCCTCCCACAGCCTTACTCCTCCCTCCATGGAGCACAGCGCTGAATATCACCACAATCCTGCTGTTACCAGAATCCTGGTCAGTTTTATCACAGTCAGGGGGCTTCAGTAATACTATCACTGCTAAATAATAGCAGTATCATTTATATTATGGTATTTGTAGGCGATGCTGTGGTCACAAGCTGAACAGCGGTGCTGTGAGCTCGTGCTGCGTGCGCCAGTCTTGGTGGCTTGCTCAATACTGACGCTGTAACACCCAAGAATGTTGGCCTGGATTTTTTTTCTAGGTGGCATCTGGCAACTATCGGTCGTGGCTGTACTATAGCTGCCCCTATCCCAGGCGGGCGTTTAAATTATAGCGCTAGACACGAAATCATATATAAATGATGTGCGCGGTTTAGGTTTAGTCACTGATATCATTTATATATGATATGCGCGGTTTGAGGGTTAAAGAAAAGAAGGGATGTCATGTTCATAAAAAACGGTACCATCCGTTTGTATGTGCTGCGGCTCAGACGCCAGGAGAGGAGATTAACAAGAAAGCATGCAGGGCGCCATCAGCTTGGAAGCTGCTAGTCATGTATCAGTTTAGGTATTAAAGTCAGTAACCAAGCAATGGCTTTATGTCAACCCTACAACCAAGACTTCCTCAGTAACACACAACACCACAGTCGACATACCAGCTCAAGATGAACACGGGTTCTCCGGCAGTGTTGTAAAAACCCTGATGGAACCGTTGCTGAACAAGGGGCAAATACTATTCACCGACAACTATTACACCAGCCCCTTGTTGACCAGATACCTCCTTGCCCACAACACCAGCATATTGGGCACTGTGAAGGCCCACAGGAAGGAAATGCCAGTGTTTGGTATTGGTATAGCAGTGGGTGATTGCCAGTTGCGTAAGTGTGACAATATGCTGTCAGTACGGTGGAAGGACAGACGTGAGGTGAATATGCTGACTACGATTCACACCGGTGACATGTTGGACAGTGGGAAAGTCCACTTTCAGATGCGCTTCCCCATGTATAAACCGGACTGTGTCATAGACTATAACGTGAACATGCGCCTCATCGATAAATGTGACATGATGCTTGGTGCAGTGGAGTGCGTGCACAAGTCTGTGAAGTGGACGAAAAAGTTCTTCTTCCACCTAATAGATGTTGCAGTGCTCAACTGCTTCAATATGTACCTGGCAAAATCTGGCAGGAGACCGTCACTACGTACATTCAGTGCTGGTGTTGTGTCACAGCTGCTAGTAAAGTATGGCAAGGAGGGCTCCGTTGCACCTCACGGGGTGCAAACAACAATGCCACACGCAGCTCCAGACAGACTGAGGGGTAACGAGAACTTCAGAGTAGACATGCTGGAGTATATGCCAGGCACAGCATCATGTGAGAAGGGTAAACGTGTGTGTATAGTACGCAGGAACACTACCCGCAGAGAACAAAAGAGAAGATGCATCAGCACCTGGTGCGTGGAGTGCAAGGTGCCACTGTGCCCCGTTGGGTGTTTCGCAGCATATCGCACACTTGCTGAGTACTGAGTGTGTTGATGTTGTGTGTATATAGTGTGTGATACTGTACAGTGTGTATATAGACTGTAAATATAAATATATTAGTGTGATACATTGGAAATATGTGCAGGGATAAGTGAACATTTTTGTGATGCACGTAACACAGTGTCTACAGACAGTACGGATATTCTACTGCCATAATATAGTGTATGTGTTCATTATACATAGGAATGGCATGTAAAAACAAATAAATTGTATTTGGAACTGTGCGCAAAAAATGAACAATAATATATTCGCGGCAGCTCACGCATCCTGCCCCGGGAGCGTACACCACGGGCGAACAGGGAATGATGACGTCACGTGCCAACTTACGGACCCCATAGCAGCCAAAGTAAGCACAATTTAAACTTTCCATTACTATACCCATACTTAGGGAAAGGTTTTTGACACTTTCAAAAAAAAAAAAAGAATTTTTTCGAGAGAATTTATTTCCTGCGCACTGGGGAGATGTCATATTTGGAAGCCGAGCAGTTGAGTGGTTAAGGCAAGTGCCTTCCAGGGATTAAATACTTTTACCTTTGTTAACGAGTTAAAACACACCTCTTTATATGTATTACAGGTGCAGATAAATTCTCGACAAGAAATAAAAGTAAAATCAAATCTGCTGCGTTTAGCACTCAATGATGGTCGAGCAGAAGGTGAACGAAGAATATACATTCAACTTCCAAAGGACTCGGAACATTGCAATCATGAAAAAGAACCAGTAAGTTTTGTAAGAAATGTCTTGTTAATTTTCCAATGTGCTATATGTTTTTCAATAATACAGCACAATAAATAATTTTAAATAATGCTACTGAACATAATGTATTGGTACAGTTTTATAATGCAAGTGATCGCTAAATGGTAAAACTCACAATAATTTGTCTCTTTATTTAAAACATCAGGAATTTTGAGTCATGATTATTATTATATAGCCAGTTTCTAAGTTATACAATGTATTTGTTACCCAAGGTGCATTGTTCTTCCCGAAGACAGATACAAATGCAATTAGGATAGATCAACATTTTGCCGCTAGGTAACAAGGCAGCCCATTTTTGTGAGCGTTCCCAATGTCAAGAAACTGTCATACTAAAGTGCACTGTCCTACCTTCCAGGGGGACCCACTCACAGAAAACGGGAATTATGTAAATTTTGCAAGCCGCTACCATTTTCTTATCCACTCGATTTAACGACCTCTTTTATTCCGATCTGCCGGTAATAACAACCGGTTTGGGAGACCGGTATCTGGAGCCTGATATAACTGTAGGTCGGTATTGGGTTTGTTTTGGTGTCGGCACGCCCTCAAATGGCAACAGGACACCGACCTCCAAGGCATTGAGGGAGGGATGGGAGGCAGTGATTGATGGAGGGAGGCATTGAGGGGGAGAGGCAGGGAGAGTGTTGGTGGTGTGGGAGGGAGAGTGGTTGTGTTGAGGGAGGCGGTAAGGGAGGAGGAGGGAAGGATTGCTGACGAGATGATGGTTGCCAAACGTCTCATCCATTCTGTATTAAAATTTTTAATCTAAGTTGTAAAATATTTATGCCAAAATATGTTAATTTTTGTATATTACTATACATTATTAATCATTAACATGTTTTATGGTTTCCTATTTATTAATTAAACAAATATAGTTTTAATTATGAATTATGCACAGTTGGCATCTGCGAGCAGGTGTTGACAGACATGTCCGCCTCTACGCATAGTCTCGGCCCCATTAGTAGCTCCCTCCTCCATAGCCTGCTGTTCTCATGTTATGAGGGAGGGATGGAAGGCATTAAGGGAGGGATGGGAGGCAGTGATGGAGGGATGGGAGGCAATGATGGAGGGAGGCATTGAGAGGGAGAAGCAGTGAGGGAGAGAGGGTGGTGGTGGTGGTGAAGGAAGAGTGGGGGTGAGGGAAGAGTGGCAGTGAGGGAAGAGTGGCAATGAGTGATGAGTGGCAGTGAGGGAAGAGTGGGGGGGAGGGAGGGAGGTGTTTGGTTAATGTGGTTTACTTGTTGTGTGGTCCACTTGTCCACTTGTGTGATCCAACTTGTCATGTGAAGGAATTATTAATTGTAACCTGTGATAGAATGGGCACTAACACAGGAGCTAACTTGGAATTCAATTACACAATGAACTTTATTTCATTTTAGTTATATATAATATATCTTACCTGAATGTTACTTGAAATAATACCGACACCTCATCAACTTTGGAAATACCGGAGCCCTGGATATAACGACCTGGGTACAGCCCCATATAGGCCATTAAATCGAGTAGATACCCCAGAAAGGTAGGCGAAACAAAACAAACCACTGTCTTGTTGAAAATTGCGAGCTAGGTTCTCAAAATAGCAAAAGACCCCCCCCCCACACACCAGAAAGAAAACAAACAAGCAACACTTTGTCCAACTAGCCCCCAGCTTGTTAGTGCCACCCTCCCCAAAGGTAGAGGGAGAGCCAGCTCAGGTGAGCCGGATTACCCACCCTTCAGTTCTTGACTGATGTGCTGGCGGTCGGATATCACCTCAGGCTACGATTTCCTGTTCTGTGATTTTGCCTTATACAGCTGTTCCTGCACTTGTGTGTGTGCTGGCTTGGAGTTCCTGGGTACCGGAGCTTCATGCTTCTGAAGCCACCTTCTCTAGGTGCTCTATGAGTACTGCCCTTGTGGAGTCAGGGTTCTCTTCCCTGGGGCATTCAGGAAACACTTCCTGTTAGAGAACTTCCTCGCTTGTGCCTGTCCTCGCCCTTGGGGTCAGTCGGGGGTCTTGGGCTCTGCACGTAAGTTGCGTTCTCTGGGTTTGCGTTGGCCCTTTCACGGGTCGCCCCATTGATGGGGAAAGGCTGGGTGTTTTTTCCTACACTTGATCCCTCAATTCATGGGCTTTTCAGGTCGTTTCTGGCAGCCTTTGGTGGCATTAGGCAGACCCTCCTCCCTTCTGGGGGGGGGGGGGGGGGGGTGGGGGGCAGACCTCTTTCCCGTCCATCTGTCGGGTCATCTTGGAGTGGGTTCACTTGGGTCTGGTCAAAACGACCTCGCCTCTTGGTGAGTTTCTCACCTCTTGGCTTTTGAAAAGCTTTGTTTCTGGGGGAAGGCCCTTCGGCTCCCCGGAGCTATCCAGGCTGATATAGTGCATCCTCACTCTAACGAACCCCACTGTAGCGAATTCCCGGAAGATCCAAACAAATTGAATTCGGAACTAAATGTTCAATGGAACATACAAATGTTCGATTAAGCGAGGATTGTTCGTCCAAGCGATCACCGAGACCGAACTGTCATAGTTGATGACAGCCACTGTCATTAACTATGATTCACCAAAGTGTAAACAGTTGTACAGTATTATATTTTGCTTACCCAATGTTTCCAATGAGAAATGGTTGAAGGATGATAAAATGGTGTCAGGGGAGGCAGGTTGCATCATTGGTATGGGTTGGAGCAGGGTTGCCAGATTGGGCTACAAATAGCGAATTGGGATACTTTTGAGAGCCCCACGCTCCCAAATTTTTAATTTCGCTACTTGCGACTTTTTGGGCTAGTTTAACCCTCAAACCGCTAGAGGCCCAAATGGAATTCACACCCACAGGCGCAACAAAAAAAAAAAATTCCAAAAAATTCTTTCGTCTTATAGAAGTGTTCATTTTTGTTCCCTGATCACGGAAAAAATAAAAAAAAAAACGTAGGTGGCATATTTTAGCTGCAATAGGGTAGGGAAGTGTGGCAAAAAAGGGGCGTTGGCAGAGCCTTCGCCAGACGAGGTCTACTCCGCCCGAGCTGTCAGACGGCAGTTGCCACAAATATATTATTACCTAATTATTTCAATGTCTCTGATTGATTTTTTCTTAGTTTTTTTGCAGTAATATTATTCCATACAGTGAATTGTGGTATATTTATATTATAAAATGTGTGAACCATCGCTGTACTCAAAATTATGGTGTGCATATTAGTGATTCAATTATTACGTTCATAAAACAATAAACAAATAGTTTTGCTGTTGTTACACTATATACACAGGTTATATATAAGTATTTGCATGTTTTGTATACCATAACGAACTACTAAGTTGGTCTTGTGAGTCAAAAAGCAACGAGGAGTGAAACACCACACACCAGCGAGCCACTCACTGCCTCTCCCTCCCTCAACACCACCTCACTCACCCTCATTCACCTCCCACAATACTCTTTTGTATTTATTCACTATACACAGACGTTATATATATGTATTTACATGTTTTGTTCACCATAACTGTACATCTAAGCTTGTATGGTGAGTAAAGGCCACAAAGACGTAGCTACTCACACAGTCAGCTGATCGGCGGCCGCCCTCAAGGCCAGACGCACTAATATTTGTCCTCCAACAATATTGTTTGTGGTGTTATTACGCTATATACACACATTATATATAAGTATCTACCTGTTTTATTCACTATACCTGAACAAATAAGCTGGTATGGTGCCCAAAGATCATAGTGGCCATCAGTAAACAACATGCCAAGTCGTGCAGACGACGCTCCTCCCTCACCAAAATGGTGGCTCCCAACCTACTCCTCTCGCTGTTATCTCACACTATACACACGTTATATATAAGTATCTACATTTGTGTTCACCATGGCGAACCACTAAGCTGGTATGGTGAGTGCAGTCAATAAATGGTGGCCACACACAGTCAGAAGACGACGCCACAACCCTCCCTCCCACAGCCTTACTCCTCCCTCCATGGAGCACAGTGCTGAATATCACCACAATCCTGCTATTATCAGAATCCTGGTCAGTTTTATCACAGTCAGGGGGCTTCAGTAATACTATCGCTGCTAAATAATAGCAGTATCATTTATATTATGGTATTTGTAGGCGATGCTGTGGTCACAAGCTGAACAGCTGTGCTGTGAGCTCGTGCTGCGTGCGCCAGCCTTGGTGGCTTGCTCAATACTGACGCTGTAACACCCAAGAATGTTGGCCTGGATTTTTTTTCTAGGTGGCATCTGGCAACTATCGGTCGTGGATGTACTATAGCTGCCCCTATCCCAGGCGGGGCGTTTAAATTATAGCGCTAGACATGAAATCATATATAAATGATGTGCGCGGTTTCGGTTTTGTCACTGATATCATTTATATATGATATACGCTGTTTGAGGGTTAAACGCAAGTTGGGCTACTTTGGGCTATTAATATTAAGAAACTCAATGATGATTATTTATGCTTTAATAATATAATCTGTACAAATCACAGCCGAGTCCAACAGCCTGATTGACTAGACCACTTACCGCAGGAGAGCCCTGGTCAGAGACCGGCCCCTGGGGACGTTGATCCTAGGAACCTTTGAAAGAAAAAGTAACCGCAAGGTAAGGTAATCCTCCCCAGGGGCAATAGATTTCCCAACCTTAATTGTTAAAAATACTTCATCCCAAAAGCTACACCTGGTTCCACAGATCTTCATTAAGGGGAGAAAGTTATCTAGAAATTTACAGATTGATAAATGATGGGAAAGATCCCTTAAAGTTAATACCTTTGTCAGGAAGATGATGGTTGGCAAGGAGCGGTAGTGTAAAGCGGCCGTTTGATCAGTTGGGTTCTCTAACAACTCATTACCAAATAGCTTCTTCCTTTTGTGATAAATATGTTGCAAGGCAACTATTTTCAATGTACGCTGATCCCTCCAATAAGCTATATTTCACATGTCTCAAACCAATCCTAAATGATTTTGAAAGGATGAATTTACTTTATCAAAAGATGAAGCAGATC